ACCAAGACTTGACCAAGACCATAGAGTGTCCAGACCAAGACCAGAGTGTGTCCAGACCAAGACTAGTCTGAGACCCGAGTATGTCCAGACCGAGACCAGATCAAGACCATAGTGTGTCCAGACCAAGACCATAGTATGTCCAGATCTAGACAAAACCGAGACCAGACTGTGTCCAGACCAAGACTTGACCAAGGCCATAGAGTGTCCAGACCAAGACCAGAGTGTGTCCAGACCAAGACTAGTCTGAGACCCGAGTATGTCCAGACCGAGACCAGACCAAGACCATAGTGTGTCCAGACCAAGACCATAGTGTGTCCAGACCAAGACCATAGTGTGTCCAGACCAAGACTTGACCAAGACCATAGTGTGTCCAGACTAAGACTAGACTGAGACCCGAGTGTGTCCAGACCAAAACCAGATCGAGACCAGAGTGTGTCCAGACCAAGACTATTCTGAGACCAGAGTGTGTCCAAACCGAGACCAGAATGTGTCTAGACCAAAACCATATTGAGACCAGAGTGTGTCCAGATAAAGTCCAGACCAAGGCCAGGGAGTGTCCAGTGTTTTTGTAGGCAGATTGCTAATGTTAGCTAGCTAGCTTTGCTAACATCACTTCCACATGTGAATCTTTCTTTGTGCTTCCTGTTTAAGTTTGACATTGTCCCCATCATACGGTATATTTAATATAAACTGGACTGTATTCTGGTAACTTACTGATGTTACCACAGTTGTGGTCTTGAAATAAAATCCAGAGYCCTCAAGGCCTGAGACAAGACTGAGTACAAATGCTGTCGAGTCCAAGATAAGACCATCTAAAACCAGTCTTTATACCAGTCTTGAGGACAACACCACTCTTACCRTCTTGTTTAAATGCTTTTATTTGGGCGGGACTTCCTGTTGGTWGCACACATTAAACAAACWGTTCCTCTGCTGTTTGGTGGATCATCTGCAGATGGGTTTTAGAGGATCCTGTTTTGCCTTAAAGGGTTCTGGACCACTCTTTAATTCCCTGGGTCGGTCCATCTGACCAGAACCGGGCCACAGAAGAGGTGTGGAGTAATAATAGTCGGCGCAGAGGTGATAAAATTTAGCTTTTGGGCCTGATGGAGGATCAGATCCACTCACCGCTGACAGATTTGACAGATAGAGGATTAGGAGAGCTGGTCTCCCTGTCCCACCCCCTCCTTCCTTCCTCTCTGTCACCAGGATCAGCGGCCCACCTGCTGGGCGCTCACACGCACGAGAAGACCAGGTGGATCCTCCGTGTTCGACAAAAATAACTCCATAAATGGGATTAAGTTTGAACTTTAGTGGTTTATTTTCAGTTTTATTGCAGTAAAGTTAGAAAAACTAGGTGAAGCTGAATGTATGCTGCGGGATAAATCTTGTTCCAGCAGGAGCTGAATCTGAATGTGCAGAACTTAAAATTAAATGCATTGGTTTGAAAATTTATTTCACTAAACTGAAGCTGAATTAAATGTTTTGTATCTGAATTAATTTTCTTTGAAACTGTATTTTGG